ATTTTTATTTTGAGAGAGCATGAAGCCACATGTTTCAAGTGCTTTGAAAATGATGATAATTCTGTCCTTGAACAGCAACAACCTGTCCTCTGTTTGTAAGTTAGATATATTAGGTTTGAACGTCATGATTCTACTTCATCCAAAAACTCAGCATTTTCTCTGTTCGAATATCGATCTGAATGTGTTAAAAAAACATGCACTGCACATGTTTATTACGGGTCATATGTTGTGAATGTTCTCAAATGACTAGGAAAATATTTTATATGAGTATTCGATATTTCATTTTTCTTTTTTTTCTTTTTTTTTCAACTTTTTTTTAAATTAAATTAAATTTATTTAGGTAAAGATGAGAAAATATTTTTGGGACCTGGTCAACAGGTCACACGTCAAGAACATAAGATAATCTGAAATAAAATAACGTTATATTTGTTTATTTACTTTTTGATATCACCATATTGTTGTAAAGTGATTGTCTTTTTGCATTTAAAAACAATAAAAACATTTTCAATTAAAAATGATCATATTCCTGAAATTCAGTATATACTGTATACCTCCATTCAAGTGTTTTTGTTATGCTCTCTTGCTCTGCTCTACTTTGTAAACGGGCTGAGGACAGCTCCAAACAGCTAATGTCAACTACTGTCATAAACCACTGTCAGTGAGACAGCAAGTGCGGGGGCTTCCACCTTGCAGCATCCCTCTTGTTGACACTAAAAGCTCAGCCAAGTGAACCCTGGAAAGTCCAAGCTGAGAAAACTCATTCAGAAGAAGGACCAAGGGAGAGCAGGGAACCAGGCCTGACTGGAAAACAGACACCATCTCCCAGAACCGAGCGGCCCCTGATGCTCATAAGAAGGTCCCAACAGTGCCAGCATGAGGCAAAGTGTCCGGCTTACACTCACACAAGCCTGAAGACAAGCTGATATCAAATCTCTCTTCATCATTAAGTCTAATAACAGCTGTCATTATTGTTGAAGTGCTTGGCCTGTAGTCGGTGCTGTGAACTGTCACTAACACATGAGAGATTATCCAGTGACTCAAAGCCTCTGATCTCTGCACTGCAGCGTGAATCACCAGGGTTCGCACCACAGACTCTGGTCCGCACTCTTCTCTGCATCAGACCAGACTGAGGCGACACATATGACAGGCTTTTATCTATGCATGGGATCAATGCACTGCTTTTAATACACCACACAAGACATGCCTGATCCACCACATTCTTCACCATTATTTATTTGTTCTGTTCTGTTTTTTACCTTGTCACATCCGCAGGCTGCAGGTGGAATAGAATTCTTCTTCACAACCAGTTTGACTTGATGTTTTAAATGCAGTCTGTAGTAGTTGCTGTTCACCCATTGTCCCTCGGTCAGATCCATGAACGCACTGATGGGACTCCAAACCCTGGATCTGAGGATGTGTGTTTTGTGACGCCCCTCGAGACGACTGTTGTTGTGATTTGGGCGTTACAAATAAAATGTATTTGATTTGATTATACTTGTAAATTGAAGTGGTAGTTTGGCACCAATCAGAACAAATATAAAGAGTTCGTAAATGTGTTGAAAATTCTAAGAAGTAAACGCAAAGACTTCCATGATGACATCGAACAAATAACAACATGTTTTGAGACTATTTCACTTTACATAAAATTTGACTTGTTTCACATTAATGAAGACAATAATCTTGAAATGACAATAAAATCCTGCTGTGTTTGCAGGAACGCTAAACTTTCTCATTCAATTACAAATAAAATACATATCAAGAAAATGTTCTCTAATCAAGATGGATACTATTTACTTTAAGAACACATTAACTTGTGTTTACCATTGGTATTCTTAAGGTAAATGTATATTAAAGATGGGGTACCTAACTTAATTTCTTCATTAATAATCCCTGCATTTGTCCCTTATAAAGTAACATTTTGAACACATCAGACCACACATTCTGTCATTTTCTTACAAGACATAAATCCTTTGAGTTTATGTAAGAAAGCAGTGAGTCATTATTGGACACTTTGAGCTGGGAGCTATTTCTAACACTTTTCTGTCTCAGAGAAAGCTGACCTAAAAATGTGACAGAGGCCAAACATACATGTGTGTAAAAACTAATGATAGAACCAATCTGTTTTGAGAGCAAGACACAACAGATTACAGACTTACATACTTCAATTTTTCTCGTCGTTTGAAAATTGAGTTCCTCAGCTTTAAATTGTCGGTTTTAATCACTCAGTTCCATTCAGTTAAAACCTATAAGTTATATATACGTGTGAAACCCAAGAGTAACCCAAATACTGCTGTAATCCCCTGAGTCTCCTGCAGACAAGGCGCACACCTTGTTTCTTGTCCATCACAAGCAGTGAACTTGTAAACAACACGATTTTGAAGAAATATTGCATTTATTTTAAGCTCAAAGTCTGACAGAAAGACAAGTCAAAGATCATATTTTTTTACAAACGAGTTCAGATCTGAGACAGGAACAGCATAAGGTGCTTACAGCAATCAAAAATGTTCTCATGCGTTGCACCGCTATAAATAAAAACAAAAGTGCTGAATAAATAAATAAGAAAGAAAATGGCACGTTAAAATCCGCTCATTCATACTGCGTTATTTCAGGAACATCCAATCAAGAAAGATTTTAATCCGATTTTCAACGCTTCCAAAACCCATTAGAGTGTGAAAATTAATTAACATTTATAAACATGTGAGTTCTAATAATAGAAAATCAACAGCCCGGCCTTTAAAGTTACTCAAATATAGTTTTCATGATAAAGCCCTGCCCAGAATGTCTCCGGTCTAATTGAGGATGGCATGAGAAACGTAGCGTGTGATTGGCCCTGACAGTTTCAACCAAAGGAACCATTAGCGTCTTTTCATATGAGACCAGGGACATATTAGGGTTCAATTTATCTGCAGGCAAAAATACTCTTGAAGATTTTTTGTGAGATCATTGTTTTTGACATTTTGTAATGCCATAAAGACTCCCAAAACGTGCGCCAGCTTTGCAAGCCAAGAAAAACATGAGTTGTTGTGGAAAAAAAATCTATAGTTTTAATGTTTTTGATGTGTAGGTCTTTTGAAATGAGCCATGATGTGCTGACTTTCTAGAGCAACAAGAACAAAGAAATGATGGAGCCAAAAATTATTAACGGAATATTCACGATACAGTATGAACACCAAAGTCTTCTTATGTTGAACATCTTGTCTCCACATGGTTCTCATCCATTACGCTCAAGTAAAAGTCCAAACATAGTGATACAAAACAAAGTGTATTTAAGAGTAAAAAATATGTTTTCTGCACTTCTTTATTAGGCAAAGAGTTGTGTCCCGAACTAGTCTGTTTGTATGAGCATTTACATGTATTTATTCATTTATTTTCACAGCCAGAATAAAACGTAAAATGCATTTGAAAATTAAAGTCTGAACATAAAACACCCAAATACAGTCTAGAATGACCTCTCTGTATAGTTTGCATCAGTTTCCCGTTTGAAAAGTTGCGGTGGTACGTGATTCGACCAATCATGGACAGGCAAAAACAAGCATGGCTAAAACTAAAATAACAAAAATAATATTACTGGGGAATAAAACATTTGGACATCTCTGCTGGACATTTCTATCCACAAATGAAAGATGTCTGATTAATATTTGGCTTTATAAGACAGATGACCTCTTCAAAACAAGGAGATTGGGGACGCCATAAATATTCAGATTTGTGAGTCATATTTTGACAATTTACTTCAAGAGTTAACAGATGTATTAATGCTATACTAATGCAAAACTAAAAAGGGTATACTCCAAGCACAGGGCAAAAGGTTGGGTACCACGTTTACAGTAGATGACCAATGAGCTGTGCCGTCTTCGTCTCTGATATGCCTAATCTAATCGCATGGCTCCAATTGAGTTTGGCTAAATGAGTAATGGAAGGAGAGACAACCAGACTGAAAGAGAGATATGGTTCTGGACTTTGCACGAAAACAGGGAGGCCATACTTCACTGATATTTAATGTTTAAAAACCTGGGAACATGTCGAAGTCACCACAACCGCTGTCACTGAGGCTGGAATTCCACTGGTTATAGTGAAGGCGCCATGACCACAGACTGTATAGATGGACATTGCTAACCCCCGAGCTCAATGAAGTCCAAGGGAGAAGTGTTCATAGGCAAAGTTTAGCTCAAAGTTGCTCTGGCTCCTAATGACTTTCATCAAAAAGTAAACTCCTAACCGTTTGACTGAAAAAATTGGTGTTTTAGCACTGTTTATTGTCCTGGTTATGTTAAGTTAGACTTATATAGTGGGGAAAGTTGTGATCAGTATTTGACCCATTCTTCCAATACCACTAGTGCCTCTGTCATGAGCAGTGGTTGCCATAGTACCGGAACCCATCTCCAAATGTTGACGCTGGGCTTTGTCAGGACCAGAGCCAGAGCTTTGCCTTTTTTTTTTGAGAACATGCAGTCAGAAAAGCTCCGACCGGGATTCAAACCCAGGACCTTCTTGGTGAGAAGTGAGAGTGCTAAACGCTCAGAAACAGTCTCTCCCTGGTGTTTATATTGTAATTTTGTCTTCGAAAATTCATTTAACCACCTTAACACTCCTTTTACAGTACGAAGCTCGGAAAACAAATGCTTATAAAAATGAAATTGGCTCCAGCTAGCTTGTGTTCTCATCAGCTTCTTCTGTATTAGGCAAATGCTAATGTGACATCAGCTCTCAGTCAGTCCACTCACATATGGTCAATGGCCGTAACACATTGTACTAAAATAAATAATAAAAATATACCAGAAGAAATACAAGGTCCTTTTACTTTTGACATTTCTGATTCGGAATTACCCAAAAGTTTGACATTGACACACTGTCCATGAAAGGAAAATGGGTTGGCGTACATTTTTGTCGAAAATCTTCAACGTCAGCCTTTTGCCACGGAAGCTTGAAATGCAAGTACAGAAAACGTTCAATTGTGCTTTTTATGTTTCAAAAGTCGGACATCAGTTCTGGTTGGGCAATAGTTAGGAGACAAAGCCAAAGAGAGGCTGCATGAAGAGGCCCAAAGTCCCGAGAACGCACACGGTGACAAAGACCCAAAGGAAGATCCGATCAATCACCATGGCAACGTACTTCCAGTCATCTTCCACCTGCAAACAAAACAGGAGAGGTAAAAAAGTCTCAGAAAAAATTAGAAGTGTTCAGGTTGTTCAAACACCTAGCTGTGTCCTTGTATTTTCCTAATCTATTAAACAGTCAAATAAAAGTGAAAGTTTTTCTCTTCTTTTTTTTGTAGGTCAATGAGAATCTGATCCATAATTTATAATGGAGTAAATTACTATGATAATTGCATTCAAAGGCGCGACAGGCGTTTCTGACAAAGCTGATAGAAGAGTGTGTTTTACATATCAAAGCTGCATAATGCCCACAGGGAGATTCTCCAACTGTATTTAAGACTGATTCCGAGAGAAAGAGAGAGAGAGAGAGAGAGAGAGAGGGGTCCCGTCTCAAATCAAAATCTTTCTCTTGAGATCTGCCCTGGCTGTGACACATACGAGTTTCTCCAAAGACAGAACACAGGTATTACATGAATGGCCTTTGGGATCCTGGCTGATATAAGCTGAATTGGTGGCTCAGTTAAACTTAAACTCTTCACTTGTCCTTAAGTGAAGTTACAGCATGATACCCTTTGATAAGTGTTGTGTTATTTCAATTACTAAATCATCCATAGTGTATTGTTTATTTATGCCAAGAACACCAACTAGACCCTAGTTGGTGTAGAACCCTCTGTCCTCCAGCCCCTGAACGTCACCTACCACAGCCTGTGCAGGTTCATTCTCCGTTGTCCCTTTAGAACGCACCACTGCCTTCTGTACGAGCACCTCCAGACGTCAGCTACATTGGCTATTATTTATTTTTAAATGCATTAATCTTAGTTTTCCTGACTATTTAAAATATTTGATTCCTTTTCAATCCTCCTACAGTTTGCGTCATGCAAATCAGTCCTTTTTTTCAGTCCCAAGATTGAAAAAAGAAGTCTGGAAACATGCATTTAAATTTAAAGCACCGTCTGATTGGAACAGTTTGCCCTCATCTGTTCGCTCTCTCAGTTCTCTGGCTCAGTTTAAGAATGCTCTTGTGCCAAATCTCCAAAATCAGTGTAATTTTTTTTTATTAATCTTTATTTATATACCGCCTTTTCACTGCACATCGGAGTCTCAAAGCGGTTTACAATTGTGATTTTTGGGAGCCAGAACTATTGTACATATTTTTAGTGGTAGGGGAAACCGGAGCACCCGGAGGAAACCTACGCAGACACGGGGAGAACATGCAAACTCCACTCAGAAAGGCCCTGGTCCAACCGGGATTCGAACCCAGGACCTTCTTGCTGAGAGGCGAGAGTGCTCCACTCAGCCACCGTGCCGCCCAGTGTCATTGTTTTTGATTTTGGGTTACATAATCCTATGTTTACTGCCTTTAATATTAATAAGTTTAGTATTTTCACTATTTATTGTCTGCATCAAATATATTTACAACAGTCATGGTGTGTGTGTGTGTGCGTGTGTGTGTGAGTGTGTGTGTGTGTGAGTTTGTTTTGTGTGAGTATTGTTTATTGTTGCTTTTTGTCCTTTGTATTTATTGTTTACTTTATTGTATTGCATTGTATCTGTCACCTCTGTTACCTTTTTGAGGACCCCCTCGAAAACGAGATGTTTCATCTCTAGGGGCTTATCCTCCAAATAAATAAATAAATAAATAAAACATATCACTTGACCAGGGAATACATGGAAAATAACAAGTAATCAGAATAGTCATGGAGTTCCTGAGTTGAAGGAGAGTGCATGGTTTTGAAAATAAATCTTAAATAGTAGTATAGAGCAATGATCTCTGTTGTCCAAATACAGAAGATGATGGCATTATGGTGAAAATCCATAGGGCAGTTTTGCAAAATTGAATTGTAAAAATGTCTCATCTTAGTAGAAACGCTAACCCTAACCCTAACGGTATTATTTCAATAGAGGTTCTAAGGTTAAACCAAATCTCCTCACATATGAACATGTGGTAAATGCATACAGTATGTATAAGGAGAAATCATAACTCAAAAACATTACACATCTGTCATGCTTTTGTTATAATATCATATACCACTAATATTTGCTTTTAACCAGCAGCACATAGTCCCAGTGCACAGGCTGAACTGACTGTAGCTTTGTTGCTTTGTGTTGTGTAAAATCACAGTGACATTGAGGCTGGAGGATGTGACGGGACGCGCTCCGCTGACCTCTTTGGCTTTGTTGCGGCTCCTCATGTTCTCTGCGATGTACTTGACGCTCTCGATGGCCTGTTTGACTTCGGGCGACACCACGGAGAAGGCCACCACCGTGTTGATGCTCTGCATACTGAGCTGGCGGCTCATCTTGGCTCCGTGCTCGGGGGTGTCCTTCCCGTGGCTCTTCTTCCCCGTGCAGGCATCGCTGGAGCAAAACTTATCGCTGAAGTCCAGAGAGTTGAGCGATCCAACTCCCACTTGCTGCAAAAAATGCAAGCAGGACAGAGCACATGCTGCTTATATACATTTAAATTTTGCTTATATTTTCTTTAATTTTTAACAAGATTATTCCATTTTTAGGAATATGTCTTGATATTTTTACAATCAAAATGAACTGCGCTGCTCAATTGTCCTGGTATCTGAATCACGGTCAGAACAGGGCTAGTGTTTTTAATGTTCTACCTGTGCTTATGTATTTACCTCCAGGCGCTCCGGTTTCCTCAACAACTTAAAACATGTACAATAGGTAAAATCCTCCAGCTCTAGCCGTCCTGACCAAGCAGAACATAGGCAGGGCAAGGCAACTTTATTTGTATCGCACAATTCATACACAAGTCAACTCAAAGTGCTGAAAACAAAATAATATATATTATTTATAAGCAAACCAAAATAAATCCATTCTTAAACTACTATGTGTTTTTACTCCTACAAAGGACAATACAATGACAATCACTCAACAACCAACGCTGTAGTATGATTAGTTGTGGTTATGGTAACAATTCTATTAGTCACCAACACAAATGCACTGTGTGTGTTTAGACTTTCTTATCCTTTCATCGTCTTTCTGTGATTTTCTTTGTAACTCTGCCCAAGTAAAGCTCATTGAGGTCTTGTATGAAATGCGCCATACAAATACATATATCTTCTTCTCCTTCTTCTTCTCTAGAGTTATGTTGCAGTTAGCGCTGGGTATATGTGGGGTTGTGTAAGGTTTCCTCCCACTCGCACGTTCGGGGCTCACACTTCACACAGAGTTACAGTAACACTTGATTCTCTTCCCTTTAGCTGCAACTCATATTTTTTACTGGAACTACTGCTGCCGCCAGCGCCTTCCCCGCAGCCCAAACTCTCTGCTCTGATTAGATTTAGGCAACGTTGAGCTTGTCTTTAAGTCCCTGTAATGTACGTAACTGAGAGAGAAGAAAGGGCTCTTGCCGTCAGGGGGATTCAGTCTTACACTTTGTACTGTCTCATTGTAAAGCGCTCCCCTCTTTGTGTCGCTGTTTGTTGTGTGTTTGACATTGAGGGGACTGATATGAGGAGAGGGACTAAAGCCATATATAGGTCTAGTTTAAAAAAAAATCTGGTCTATTCTTTAGCTGAACTCTATGATTGTATTGTATGCCCTCGCAGAGAATCTATAGCTGTTATTACAAGGCGGGGCAGTGTTGAACAGGGAGCAGCCGTTTGGAACTTTTTTCTGTAAAAATATGAAGTTTAAGATCGATATTGAAGCATCTGGGGAACAAAATAGGCCGAGGAGCTAAACTGGTTTATGACAAATAAAAATAAAAACACAAATTATTATGAAGAAAATAGAAAATGACTAGACATGTTGTGATTATAGATTTCAATGTGTTCAGGGATGTCACAGTATAACTTATTTTTCATATACATAATATTGATCCAGACCAAATTACATTGAAATGCTGAATTCTGAAACTTATTCTCTACAAAAAGTGGCTCCAAAATAACAAGATAAAATAGCTATCATTAGATGAAAATGTACTTGTTTCTTGCAAAATTATGTTTTTTTCCCAAAAATATGAATAACAAGTCATATTTTCTTAAGTATCTTCAGCCTACATGAGTTAAAACGTCCACACAAAAAACAGTGTGATTAGATAAACACACTGAAATCAAGTGAACTACACAAGTCTATATTTTCACTGTTGCGTTGTTGTTCTCTAAATATTACATTTATCTGGTTTTTCATGTTGAGTTTTTGTCCTTGTAACGTGCGCAGAAATGTCCTCTCTGTAGAACGAACAAAGAAACTCTTATCTTAATCCACTTTCATTCTCATACGTATTTTACAAATCCTCTTCCTTGAGTTTCAAGTGTATGAGGTTACGTCTTCTGAATGATAAGGCAAAGTAAATGTGATAAAAAAAAAAAAAAAAAAAAAATAAGAACTAGTACGAGGACAGGGATATTCAATTCGGTCCTCAAAGGGACGAGTGGCTGCAGGTTTTCATTCCGACCGAGCAGGAGCACACGAGTGAATCCAGTATAAACCTGGAGACTTGAGGATCAGGGTGGAGTCTGGTATGTTCCTGCTTGGTTGGAGTGAAAACCTATGGCCACTTGAACCTTTGAGGACTGAGGTGGACGGCTTGGTTTGAATTCTGAAAGTTGTGGCAGAGAACTTACTTGCTATACTGCGTCCTAAGAGTAACTTCAATAGTGTATATAGAATTGTCTTATTATTAGCACTTTTCATTTGATTAAATTGTGATCTGCGTAATCGTGTTTAACTGATGGATCTTGACATTTAGAATATAAAAAATCATATTTGTTTGCTGTCTTCCACAAAAGTGAAAGTGGTGTTCAGAGCCTGGTGTAGGACCAGATGTGTTTTGTCTGTCTGTGTGTGGAGCAGGTGGTGCTGTTTAAACTGCAGGTTCTTTATTATGTTTAAAGATGGATCTATCCTGTCCCCAGTAGACCTGGACCTGTATAATGGAGATTTCAAATGTTTTATTATTTTTCTGAGTTTTTTTTCCTTCTTGTAATGTGCAGAGACATGTCTTCTCTGTGGAACAAACATAAATTGTGTTTAAAAAAAAAATAGAAAGAAATATATGTCAAAAATATAAATCTAATAATTATCTAACTCTAGATTGAATAAATTAAGATAATGTTTTATTAATTCCAGAGTGGGAAACCTTCCATGTACCAAGCAACATTCCATCATAGCTGTGAAAACCACTCAAAGGGTTTTTCAAGGATACGCAGTAGTGCTACTTCAGGAGCGATTATAGAAAAGTGTCTTGTCTGTGTATTTTGTCTTGATTCTGGACTACGAGTTTGTAAGTAAAGGGCGATGGCAAAAAAATATATTGCATTGGTTTTATATTGTTGTTGTCAGTAAGTAAGTCATCTTTTGTTTATATAGCGACTTTCCCAGACCAGATTCACAAAGGCAATTTACTCTCTCTCCACATCGAGATGGGAGTGTGGCCGCCGGTACAACCCTATTATACATGTTTTTAGTGGTAAGGCACCTGGAGGAAACCTACACAGACATGGGTAGAACATACAAACTCCACATGTGTATATAAAACTACTGCTGGTTTTGCTTTTGTTATATTTCCCTGTAAATGTCCAAGCTGTTTTTTTTTCTTTCTCTAATGATGTGTTAATATTGTATAGCATCGTAATGTATTTCTTTTTATCTTGTGTTGTATTGTACCGGCTTGGAATAAACTAAACTAAACTAAACTAAACTAAACTAAACACTCAGATAGGCCCTGTTCCGACGAGGATTAGAATCTAGGAGCTTCTTGCCGAAAAGCGAGAGCATTAACCACTCAGCCACCCAAGAGACTCCATATCATGACTTCAAACACGGCAAATTCAGCATGATCCAGCAATATAAACGGTAAATCACAAGTCCGCACTCACCTGTATTAGGCTGTTCTTCCTCTTATGGGCTCCCCTGGCACCTCCTCCGCCTCCCCCTCCCCCTCCGGCTCCTCCTGCCTCCCCACTGCAGTCCACCCCCCCCATCTTTGCACAGTCGTCCGTGGTCGCGTCCTTGGGCCTGCGCATCAGCATGATCCGGGGCAGCATGGTCAGGAAGACGGAGCGCACCCAGGCCGGCATGGTGTGCGTCATGGGCGTGCGGTAGTGGACGTTCAGCACGAAGACGGTGATGACGATGCTGAGCGTGACGAAGATCATGGTGAAGAGCAGGTACTCGCCGATGAGTGGGATGACCAGCGACGTGGAGGGGATGGTCTCCGTGATAACCAGGAGGAAGACAGTGAGGGAGAGCAGGACGGAGATACAGAGCGTGACCTTCTCTCCACAGTCGGACGGGAGATAGAAAACCAGCACCGTGAGGAAGGAGATGAGGAGGCAGGGGATGATCAGGTTGACGGTGTAGAAGAGCGGCAGGCGGCGGATGTAGAAGGAGTACGTGATGTCGGGGTAGATCTCCTCGCAGCAGTTGTACTTGATGTCATGTTTGTAACCGGGAGCGTCAATAATCTCCCACTCCCCGCTTTCCCAAAAGTCTTTGAGGTTCACCTACAACAGAGACACAACTTTAGCTTGTGTCATTTTAGCTCCAGCGGGTATGAAAGATCAACTTACCAACTCAACTACTGTAAATGAGGGACTACATGTACAGTAAGGGCTCATTGTTTTGGGTTTTAAACCAAAAAACCTGAATACTTAAGTTAACCCATATGGGATGTATACGTTTTACAGTAAATGTCCTCTTACGGTGAGCAGAGGAACAAAGAAAGCAAGCAGGAGCTTCTCTCTAAGCAAGCAAAGAACAAGAAAAGGTTAAACATGCAAAGTTTATATCACAGCACCAAACGACTGCCACACAGCATCAGTACACTTCAAGCAAACACAGTTTATGTCATTAGGGCCAAACCAAAAACCCAGAGATCAAAATCTTGATCTCAACTTTTATCAATGTTGCCATCAATGCCATTCTCCATTAATCTTTCACAAAGTTTGGTTTAAATTGGGACATTTTATCATAATAAGTGTTTGCTCCTGGCTATGTGCAAGTAAATATCAGTATCTAATATATTTGAAAATCGAGATTGACCAATATGAGGGAAAGACTTTTGATTCAAATTATTTTCATCAATTCTTAGAGCGTTTAATGATTTCTACTATTTCTACAATATGTGAGATTATTAAATATGAAATCAAAGTACATTTTCTGTTTCCAAAAAAGCCTTCATTATGGTTAAATTTTGAAATCTTACTGAATAAAAGTATGCATATGTTTGGGAAATGAATAAAACATTCAAATGTAGTGAATTCTCTGCATCAACATCATTGTAAAACCAAAACAATGAGCTGAAACCACTGTTTCTGAAAACCATGCAGAATAGAATGGCATAGAGATAATGGAGAGTCTAGACTCTAGAGGCTTGTTTGGACTGACCTTGGATCCAATGAGCACCAGGTCGATCTTGGCCTTGTCGTACGTCCAGGAGCCAAATTTCATGGAGCAGTTCTGATAGTCGAAGGGGAAGTATGTGATGTCCATGGGGCAGGAGGATTTGAAAATGGCCGGTGGGACCCACGTGATGGTGCCGTCAAATTTGAGTAGAGCTTTGGTCTTATCTTCAACCAGGAAGTCACCTACAGCACTTTGTTTGTGTGTGTTTAATGCAGATGCCAGCCACAAGAACAGAGGCAAAACATGAGGCATGAGGGATTGGAATCAGAGGCAAATGTTAGAAAATGTCAAACGATGAAAACGAAAAGAGAAAATGGAAGCGAGGAACAGAAGAGGAGAGAAGATAAAAGGTGACGTTATAGACAAGAGCTTTGGGATTAAAATACAGACGACAATGAGACCTGGATGTGGGATCGAGCTGCTTGAAATGCTCTTTGACTAACAATGAGTCAATATCATATGTTCTCTACACGATTATAAATAATAAACCACACTAAACACAAAGGGATGGTGAAAGAGAAGCCAATTAAGGTATTTTCAATAAAGAATTAAAGCATTAAATCACATTTGAGACGATTGCATAAAGGGACTGTAGGAAATACACATTCTTGGTGGATAAAGTAATTACAATCCTGTGACACGTGTAGACACATGACTTCTGTGACACATGTAGCTCCTATGTACTGATTACTGATGCAAACCACTTGCTGGAGTTTAGCTAGAAACAGTACAAACTCTGTGTTATACAAGTGACTACTTACTTTTTTATCTGCTTTAATGCTATTTACTTTCATCCTATTTATTTTAAAGTATTTTTAAGTAAATATTGTAGTATAGGTAAAAGATAAGTCTTTATCCACTATACAGGAGCAATCCAGCATCAGTTGTAACCAGGCACCTGCCATAAATGGAGGTCATAATTATAGATTGGACAAATTGTGCTTTTCATTCTATGCAATAATTTACTTAAAGCGGCTAATGTAGCCCATTTTAACAGTTAGCCATTCAGGATTTATAAAATGCATGCATAGAACTGCCCATTAGAGAAAAACAATTACGATGAAGAGACAAATGAAAAGGTTGAATAAATTGCTGTGTTTCTCATGCTGATAATGGACTGCTCACTTGTTGTACAGCACAATGTCAGGTCTCCAGATCTTGTTTGAGGGAACTCGGATGTATTCAATCCCATCAAACTCAACCGGCATCCATTTTAGTTTATAGTCGTTCCAGATCTGGAAAATAAAGAGGGTAATGTTATTGCTGAGTGGGACTTTTCTACAGTGAGTTGTACAGCAGACAGTATGAGCCACAAGAGACACACAGATTTAGTCAGAGTGATATATTTATACAGCAGGCAAACCTTCCTTTGATCTTGCACAAATATGAATATCACCTAAAACATCTCTGAATTTCAACTGCTTTCAAAAAGATTCAGAAAATCACTGCTTGTTAAACGTAGAAACAATACAGAGCTATGACATAGAGATGAGCACTTTAGTTTGCCACTTTGTCCTCATGCCTCCAGGTAACTGCGCACTGTCATTAGTCCTGGTTATTTGCATGTCATTCAAGATGTATTCATCCATTAGTAAAGAGGATTAATGCCCTGTTACGACCTGGGAGCTGTTTAATTAGCCACTTCATGCTATACTGCCTTTTCTATTTATCTTTCCACTCGGCTGACCTGCTGATTGGTGGCCAAGGAAATAATTTGTGATAGCAGCTGTTATAAAAATAAGATTATGCTTGATACTTAAAACAAAAGTGAAATCTGAGGTAACAAATTGGATCGTTGACAGATCTAAGAACGCTCCACAAAATATACATGTTGCTTTGAGTATGTGGGAATTACTAAAGGACATTTTGGGAATTCCTCAGTCCACTTCCTGGTTCTTTGCATTGACATCTATAACACCCTGTGACCTGCCATTTTGCATTCCTTGTTTTAATATCAACACAGTAAAGAGCAACAGCTAATTGTCCCATGATGTAATTAACATATGAAACAAAAGATGGTGTCATTATACAGTCTCTTTGTGATAACAAATAACTAAGAATTATGCAGTGACATTTAATCAGAATGAATTACACTGCAAAATGTGATGAAAAGTAAGTCAAAAATTGCTTTAATTTGGCAAAATGTATCTTAGTTTGACCACAGTTTGACTGACTTAAAACAAGATTTGCCAATTGGACAAGCAAAATGATCTTGTTTTAAAAAGATACAAGAAATTTCTCCCTTGGAATGAGAAAATGAAGCAACAGTTAGTCAGAATGTCCTCGAATTAATATAAAAAACACTCATATTTTATCATTTTTTGCTGTGTAGGGGTTTGCAGAAATATTGCCAAATATCACATTTTTTCATCATGGATCAATTGTCATTTCTCCCCCGCACTAAGTCTCTTTTGTTATGGGAAAAAAATGGTATATTGAATTAACATATAACCCAACACAAACTCGCAACAAAACATATTGAAAGACATTTCAACATGTGGCACACTATAGACAACCTCATCACAAGTCATGTCTAATATCATGCAAAAAAAACAGGATCATGTTCCCTCCCACTGAACTGGGCTGGAAAAGAGAAAACTTTGACGCTGTTTTCTCAGCTTTGTGATTTCAGGTGACTTCACTTTCAGATGACCACAGTCCTTCAAATGTAAACATGTCATGTGTTTTACCTTTTTGGAAAGCTTAGAAACTACAGTTTTGGATAATGTAAATAATTACAAATGCCTCTGGATAGCCTGAGAAGGGCAAGTAACAGCCTGCCCCATAACAACTGTACTAGACATCCATAGCTGAGATCCTCCATGTAGTGCTAACGGCAGGACAGATGGAAAACCACAGCTCATGGGATGGACTCCTGTAAACTCATTGGATCCAGACCAAACATTTATATCTGAGTGTGGTGTTGACACTGGCTTTCATTGCGTATGTGTTTTATATTCAGTTTCAGAGCCACTACAAATAACCATCATCGTATCAGCAGTTATGAGCATTTCAATGGTTAAATAGAGAGCTTTGCCAGCAGAAAGGAATCACAATCTGACAGTAGCTGGAGCGTAATCATTTGAGAAAATACAAGACAACACAAAAACCAGCTGGACTAAGAAGAAAAGGTTATTATAATTTTCAGATCCTGCTAGTAGCGGGAAAAATCATGATCAACCGAGAAATGGTCAGAGCTGGCAATAATAGTACTTATATTACATACAGATATTAGTAAAAAAGTATTATGTAGTTGCCAATCCCGTTCATGTGATGGTTCTAATATATCTGGGGTAAATCTCAGAAATTCTGCAATCCAGTCAAAACAGTTGGACAAGCCTGATAAACTAAAGTAGCTCTCTCACTATAAAGTTTCAGCCACCTCAGTTTTAGTGCTTGATGATATTTTTTTATTTTGTCGGACTAAAATAATCGGTCTAACCACACCATTTCATTTAATATTACATGTAGGGAAAAAATAATTGACAAGAGTTTACAGATGGCTAACGCTAGACTAAAATGTACAAATGTGGTAATACAATAAAAACCGAAAATCATTAAATAAAATAAGGTAAATCATTTACTGCAGGTCATGAGTTTATGAGATTAGAATATAGAACAAACATATGGAGATCGTACAGAAACAGAATGGTGCATGAATTCACTTCCCATTATAACCAAACATTTCTCATACGTTTCATCAATGCATAATTTATGTGTGGTAAGTACTTACATGCCTGAGCCACAGATTTGTCTCCATGATTTGGTTTACTTCATCCTGTGGACAGAGAAAAATTCAGCTTCCAAAAATAAATAATGTCAGACAATATATATGCGAACGAAAAGGTCGACCGGGAACCTTTTAATAATACATAAGCTTACAAGTGTGGCAATCTCTATTTTTCTATTTGACATCATGTTTTTCACCAGACATGTTATTTCCACTGTGGGACAAAAAATGTGTCTGTCCGTAAACAGCACACGCCTTCACCTTTAGATTAATCTCACGTTGGCGAGTGCACATCTCCTGCAGGCGGTTTCCTCTGAATCTGAGAATTTTCATTTGCGGCTGAAAACCCTTTCTACGAGAGCTCCCACAACCACTGCGGTTCCGCTATTCCCCGGATTATCTTTTGTCTGTGTTTAGGGTCGGAAGTCTGGCAGGATTATGTCACCCGCATCAAATGTTATCGACTTAATCCAAATAAAATTACTCAAATGATGAGAGTGCGTTTCTAATTTGAGAGTTTTCCACCTATAGATTTATGATTGGACTGAAATTATTGTTTGTTGAATGCATGAAAATAGAACTTTAATTTAAGAGAAAACCCCATCAATTTCCTTGGAGAAATAGAAAAGAATAGGTTGTAAAAGTGACCAGAGATATTAAATACACCAAGAATTTCACATTGTGAGTAAACTGTTCTGGATATCAACCAATGCAAACCAATAAAACATATTTTAAGTGGCATAATGGTCCAGCATGGTGCCTTTACCTTCTCTCACAGTGGTCTCGAAGATGGAATAATTGTTTTCTCTGCACTAGAAAACCTACAAAATAGTTGATCCTGGAGCACTGTAGACACAATCGTGATAAAAGCCAAGGCACCATGTTGACCAATCTTATAGGAGTCAAACTGTGTCCATGAGTATTTCCCTGTGGGCTTCACTGACCCAGAGTTAGCATTGTCCATCTTTATACAGCATGGGTATCAAACCGGTCCTCAAAGGGCCAGTGCATAGCTGCAGGATTTCATTCTAACCAAGCAGGAGCGCTCCAGACTCCACCCATTTCCTCATGTGAGTCCATTCTAAACCTGAAGACTGGAGGAAATGGGTGGAGGCTGGTGTGCTCCTGCTTGTGGTGGTGCCTAGGACGAGACTTAAAACCCAGGAGGACAGGGCCTTTTCTGTGGCTGGATAAAAGCTGTGGAACGCTCTCCCCCCCCATATTCAAACAGCTCTTTCTGTGAAGTGTTTTAAGTCTCGTACATATATGCACAGATGTGTGTGTATTTGTGTATATATATGGTTTTAACTTATTTGATTTTTAATGATGTTACTGTTTTACTATGGATTTTCTTTCATTTTTATTTTTATTTTGCAGAACTTTGGAAACTGATTATGAAATGTGCTTTATAAATAAAGTGGATTGGACTGGACTTTTTTTTTCTTTTTCTTTTTTTTAGTATAGAGTTATTGTTCATTTATCTTGGGCTAAATCAGGTAAAGCCTTTTTTTAAACTGCTCAGACCTGGAAAAAACGATCCACGCTTTCATCAGTTCAAGAATTGATCACTGAAATGCCCTTTATTCTGGAGTTCTTGTTTTTATCGTCTTCAGTTGGTGCAAAATGCTGCAGCTCGCTTGTTAACAAACACACCCAGACGCCAACACATCACCCCAGTACTTTATTCCCTACATTGGCATCCAGTTTTGTTTTGAGTTGATTTTACAATTTATTCATTGTTTTTAAAGCGCTCAATGGTCTCGCCGTACTTGTCCGAGCTTTTAACTATTCGTGACTCAGGCAGACCATCATAAACCACGCCGGTCCTTTCTGGAACCAGTTTGACGCCATGCAGTCTATGTTTCTGACTCACCACTTTGACCAGCTGTGATATGGACACCTCAAACTCCACTGTGACCGGGTCCGACACATTCTCCACTGGTCTGATGAACTGGTTGTATCTTCTGAAGAGCTTCCGGAACAAACGGTCTTCTGCTTTGGACGAGAAGCACACTGAGGAGACAAAAAGAGACCCAGAGAGAAGGGGAAAGAAATATTTAATGAGACTGTGGAAGAAGAGAGTTGAAGAGAGCAATAACGTCTATTGTGAGATTAATCACAACTATGTATGCTGCATGAAGCCTTTGAGTTGCTAAATCATTTGTTTCGATTTTATGATCAATAATTGTTCAAAGCTTGTTCATTTGTCAAGTAGCAAATGGAAATGTTGATTCATGATGTTCCAAGAGAGACTGTCAGGAAAATCAAATGCTCAAAAGGTTGCGAAAAGGATCAGAAAATATGTGGATGCTTTCAAGAAACAAGCTGTAGCATTTCTGGGACATTTGCTCTCTGTTTTATGGCTTTCTCAAAGGAATATGGGAGGATTTATTTCTTCCGGGTGGACCATCTAGAGTAGACAATTGGTCCCTCTAATTGTCAATAATTCTGATGGTATCGAAACAAGTTTTAATAGGTGTTTTTTCTGAGCGGAGTGGTTCTTTCCTAAAATGTGGGATAATCCTCCTATATACCTTGAACTAGTGCTCGCTGATTGGTTGGATGGAATTCTACCAATGCAATCGCAAGCACAGGGACCAGACCCAAACGTTACATGCAGGAAATTATGATTGACCAGAGTGTACGGATGGATAAGGCCAAAATGTGGGATAATCCTCCTATATACCTTGAACTAGTGTTCCAATCAGCGAGCGTGGGAGGCGGGTCTTGTAGTTTGTTGTGAGTGACGTCAAGAGTTTGCGCCGAATGGGCAGGTTGTAGTTTGGCAATGGTGAAGAATGCGATAGTAAAGTAATCCGGTCTGGTTCTATCAAGAAATTGAAGCCAGAGCAAGACAAATGTATAGCAAAAGTCATTTCTGGCAAAGATTGTGGTGCTAGCCCCCACAGGCTCCGTTAGCGGCAAAAGAGATGGCTAGGCTAAATGCTAAATGCTAACAACAGACTCGGGCACACTACATACGTCACAGTAAACTCAGATCCAATCGTTTCAATCTGCAAAAGGAGTTAACCCCTCCCACCTGTAAACAGAGCTCAATGGAGCACCTCCAGCCCTTAGTATGAAATGTAATTTGTACTATGGTGTGGTACGACCAGACTACTTTAACACTAGAACTCCCAGAGAAGTTAATTTGACAGTTTGTGACAGTACATGTGTGGTCTTCATAAATATGTGGCTTTTTCCATTTGTTTATTTTTAATGACATTTTCTTTTACTTACACTGTGTACATTTAGTATTTGGCCTTCCAACAAACTGTGTTATAAATTACTCTTTTTAATACATTTGGTAGAGAGAACTAAACCCCATTTTTGAGGGGAATTTCACACGATTAAATTGGTATGAACAGACGCAGTCAAAATGAGAGTTTCCGTCATTCCAGAATTGAGTCTGTGTTAATAATTACAATTGAGAGTTGAATCATCTATCAACTATCTTTAACTGTGAAATAAGTGTGGATTGTCTTTCATTGCGTAAAATCAATAAAAAATACTCTGGTTTTGTTTTATAGGCATGGGCCACCGGTACTAGTTAGTGACATAATGACAACCCTTCTATTCAACACAAAGTCACATGCCAACCTCTAGCATAAGCGTTTGTAAAGTCTATGATTTATTGAAGGACTCGTCACTTTTGGTGGGTCACTGACCTTGGCACTTGACATGAATGCATTTGAAAGCTGCATTCGAAAGTGGATGAAACCTGGCTCTTCCCAATTCCACTTTCACACTTGACTTATCGAGTTATGCCGTACAATAAACGCAGCTGCAAAACACATTCCGGCCTCTCATTTGGCATTCATTATTTCCATAGCTCATTAGTTTTGTCAGTGTCATTGGAAAATCCCCAAATACTCCTGTATGCTTCCCACTGCAGGCCCCAGTGCAGTCTGTGGAACACTGCATGAGACGCATGCACGAGTTCACCAGAACATGTCATTACAGAGCCTTACGTAACTAACTATAAACCATTAACTATATGAACCAATAACTATATGAACCAATAACTAAAGCCATTTGTAAAAATCAGCATTCATTCATTACAAAATTTTCCTTGCTACAAAATTTTCACTTTTTATGGTTCTGGGAGTATTAATATTTTCATTCTAAATGATGAAAACTGTTGTTGTTTTGAATGCTTTGGTCTGTTTTTTGCTGTATTGGAAGCCAGGGCCTAAAATGCTCTGTATTTGTGACAAATACATACTCAAGATATGTATTTGATATGAATTATTTTGTACATAGCTATTATTTTTTACCAAAACAATATCCATAGTGTTTCAAGGCAGGTTCTACTCTTTTGAAATGTTATTGTGTTTGTATGAAATGTGTGTCTATGTGGAAAGTGTCGTGTGTATACATCACATATTGAATATGTATCTGACATGTAAATTGTTTTCATTAGAATTTTAAAGGAGCCCAAGAAGACTTGCTGACCTTCGGGTCCAGTTAATGTGAATCGAAATAAACTAAACAATTACCTTGTTTATCTTAACATTTCTCTTTGTGTTTCCAGAAAAGCAGAAAAAGCCTCACATGAGTCACTTAGTTGCTAGTTATTTTAACCCTTCAAAATGACTTAATATAGACATAAGTAGACTTTTGCGTTCTCAAATATGGTATTTTACTGTCGCTGGAGCCACAGTCAGGGACAAACAGAGACTACAGCGCATTGTGCGCTCTGCAGAGGAAGTGATCGGCCGCAGCCTTCCATCGCTGCAGGACCTGTACGTCGCCCGAGCTCGAGGCCGGGCTGGTCGTATCACAGCCGACCCCTCTCACCCTGCACATGGACTATTCCAACCACTCCCCTCAGGCAGGAGGCTGCGGTCCATCAGGACTAGAACCTCCCGCCACAAGAACAGTTTCTTCCCCTCTGCTGTTGGACTCTTGAACACTTCTTAACCTGTCCCCCCTGCCCTTTATAAAGTCACTTTACTGCCCATCATACGTCACTTTACTTCACTGTACTGCTGTTCACCTTACATTGTGTGCACCATGTGCACTTGTATACTGTAAATAGTAACTGTAACTCTATTTTAAATTTAAATGTATTCCTTAGAAGTGTTTTTTATTCTGTATTTTTTATTATCTCTTTCTGACTGTTGCACTGAGCCAAACCAATTTCCAAGTCTGTGACTTAGTTACGTGGCAATAAAAATGATTCTGATTTTGATTCTGAAAATCCAAACTCCAGTCAAACGCTTCGCTGAGAGTCAATACTGTATGTTGGAACACCAGGTTATTTTCATATTTACGAACTTTGGTGACTTGTTTACTGATAGCCTGTGGAAAAACCTGGGGATTATGCATTAGAAAATATCTTGCAGTTTCACAAATGTGAAACTGCATAGCATAGTGTCTCGGGATAAATGTGTTTCTGCCCAGCTGAGATCTGCTGCTGCCTCGTGTTGTGTAAAGTGGTGTTAAAGTAGGCCATGAGTCCATCAAATTCAATAATCCCAGGTTTATGTGTGACTTTTACTGAAGATACACCTTTGTTGTTGTTGGGGGAACAGTGGGAAGTGTTCAAAAGGACTGGCAATGAAAAAAATAATACATTTATATATAGAGAGAGAGGGAGAGAGAGAAAAGGCAGCAGCAGCTGAGTCACACAGGATTTCTGTGGAGCGTGAGAATGTTTCCACGCACTCGTGCTTTGAGGTCATGCTTTAACCTGCTCCACACACCTGGAGTGAACTGCGGCAACGGGCTGTGGGATTATGGTTAAAGATTCACCACAATATCATCAATATTTGAATAATAATTTTTAATGCATTAATCTAGAGAGCAATATTTTTCATAAAATTTTCCAATTTGATATTTTGACAAAATCGTGCATCATACTTGAAACCCTACTCTTACCTTCAAGCACAGCACCCTAACTCCAGCCCATGTGCTCTCCCCTCCCCAAATGTGTTTCAATAAAAAAATACTTAATCACACTGCAATGTCAATGCGATTGAATAAATAATACTCTCTGAAAAGACTTCTTCAATAAACCTCAGACTGGCAAGTGTTCTTTTTGTATTAAAACATTGGTTTAATAAGACATAATAAGACAAAATGTTCCAACCAAAAGGCTGAAGGATTAGACTGGATTTCTCATTCAGACCCATCACTCTGATTGGTCTGCTCAGTGCAGCCATGTTTTGTTTGTGGACTTCACTTGCATCAACCTCAACCACAATGCTGCCTGTGGCTTTACCTGCCTGTGAAAGCCAGATTGTGTTAGAACTCTAAAGCTAGAAGGGCAGGGTTAGAGCTGTGATGGGAGACCTCTGGGAACACCAGATGCCAAATTGGGACAGCTAAAAGTGCTGCAAAGTGCCAAACTGTTGTTGTGTCCTTAGGCAAAGAACTTTGCCCTAGAAGGAGTATGTGTGAGTGGTCGGAGGGGCCAATGGCACATACTGGTTGCCTCACTTCTGTCAGAGAGCCCCATGGCAACTGTGGCTACAGTCGTTGTTCACCACCACCCGTGTATGGGGTGAAAGAATGATGACATGGAGTGTCTTTGAGAGTCAAAACAAGTGCTATAATAACACTGAGGCATCATTACTGTGATTGGGTAAATGCAGTCGTCTTGTGATTGGACAGACTCTGTGTCAATGATACTTCAAACCCAAATGGATCAAATGAATGTCATGTTTGTGGACTCACTAGAAAAAATCATTTTGCAATGTAAGGGTTGTCTTATTGTTGTTGAACCATTCCATAAAACAAAATACTTGAGTGTTTCTTCAAAGGCTTTATTTTCTGATTTGTTTTGACAGCTCATTCATTCATTCGTTTTGAGTATTTTGAGAACTATCATGTGGAAGTGCCGACCCACTGCTTCCTCAAAGGAGCCAGGACAATAATCTGCATTGTGAACACAGACTGACGTGGCGCTGAACTCCTGACGAAAACCCCCCAGAGACGAGAAACACCTCGAAGTGAAGACAGCAGGAAGAAGGAGCTGAGGCCAGAGGAGACAGGAGCCAAAGCCTGCT